AATTCGACCACGGTTGCGGGCTGGTTAGCTACCATGTGCCATTTGAACTCTTTGTGCGTTACTCCTCTCTTGGCCGCCGCGAGCTGCACCGCGGGGTCTAGTTGCGGTATCTGCAAGCACGCTTCATTAAACCGCTTGATGTAGCACCGGATGGATTCTCCTTCTCTCTAGACTACTCCGAAGATGCTTTCCTCTAATCTGGGGCACCGCTTGCTGGTGACAAAGTGTGCGGTGAAGACCTGCACGAACTGGGCCTAGCATCTTATCGACCTGGGGGACAGGTTCCTGTACCAAATGCGGGCTACCCCCCTGAAGATGGTGGTGAAGGCCACGCACATGCATAATTCACTGGCCCTGGCGAGGTGCATTTGGGACTGGAAAGCATCAACGTGGTCGTTGGGGTCGAAGGACCCATCATACTTGTCCAAAGGTGGGAGCTTGAAATCTCTGGGTATGGGGACTGCCAGGAGTTCTGATGCGAGGGGGGAGGGAACTGAGAGAATCGAGGCAGCTTTTACCTCGTCCAAACTCGTTTCTTCCTTACCTCTGAGCTCGGGTAGGACACGGGTGACAGTTCGGCGACTTCGTCGGCGCCTTCGTTGTTGAGTGGGCCTGGTACTGGCGCTGCTGGCCTCTGTGTTGCTGATCTCGATGGGCCCGGAATGCTGGTGGTCTGCTGCCAGGGCACTGAATCGGTTCTTTGTGAGCGGGAACTCGGGTCTGGAGCGCCGAGGTGCTGACCTTGCGGGCAAGGTTCCTGACCCGCCTACGAGCTGCGAGGCGGGGGTGATTTTTCTTTCCCTTCGGCCTGGGGATGAGGCCTGGCTGTTAGGGGGGTTCTGGGGCCAGGAGGCTTTTCGTTGGTGGGGGCGTCCACCCTGAGGGGAGGCCTTAACCGGCTTCGGAGCAGGGTGCCGAGGTGGAAGTAGTGGTTGGTTCAGAGGTAGTTGGGGGAATTGCTGCTGATAGTGATACTGAGAGATGTTGTGCAATACTTGGTGCTGCTGGAGCTGATGTTGCTGGAATTGTTGCATTTGGGCTTGCATTGTCCGCATGCATTGCATCAGGTCGTCCAACTGGTTCTGGCTGGTTGCTAGGGGAACAGCAGTTGGTTCAGTAAAGGTTGTTTCGATAGGGAGAGAAAAGGGGATGCTCATGGCAGGAAGGTTTACGGGCGCCACTGCTTGTGGCGCATTCAAGCTGGGGATCCCATCCACTGAAAGGGGGATGGTGAACTGTCTGACGCACACCATGGGGACTTGAAGTTGTTCCCCAGTGGTGTTTGTCTCCGTGCCACGTCCGGAGTTGCTGGAAGAAGCCATGAGTGTTGGGGTTTTTGGAGAAAGGAGGTTATGAGAGTTTAGAGGGAGGCTTTTAGAAGCGTTTCCCACAGACGGCGCCAATTGATGGTGCACAATCCGGCTGGTCCTAGCTGTCAACGACCTTGCCTTTGAATGGAGCTACTGGGAGCCTGAAACAGAGAAGATGAGGAAGCTCCGAGGGGAACCCGGTATGAATGCTTCGAAGCTCGAGTTAGAATTCTCTCAAAGGCAAGACAAAACCAGATGGCGCAAAGTTCACATACCTTGTTCTTGGGGGGTAGGGAGCCTTTTATAACCACCTCGTGCACTCACTCCTAAGCTTCTGTCAGGTCGGGTATGATTACCTCTGGGCTCCTACCAGTTCGGGTGTCATCCCCTCTGCTGGACAGAACCGCCACTGCTCTCTTTGTCGGAGCCGTCTCTGCAACTGGCGATGACGGTGGCAGGTGGCCGTTGAAGTGCGGCTGTCAAGCGTCAGATCCCAAGTCAGTCAGGTGCGCCGCCCTTGGATACGGACCTCCTCGGTGTCAGGTATGGTACATTTATTCAGTTCGGCGTCCTGGAGGCGAAGTGCTGGAGTGGTGAGCGAGGTGAAGTCTTGAGTTCGGATAGGGGAGTGCCCTGAACTGCCATGAGGCGGGCCAGTTCAGGTTATTGCCTTGTGTGAGGCTCGGGGCCTAAGGGAGAGTTTGGGCTCCTTGTAGGGAGTTCGGGCTCCTTGTAGGGAGTTTGGACTGCTGGTAGGGAGTTCGGACTGTTGGTTCCTCCCTTTGGTGCTCGCGCCCTGGGCGCGCTGTTGTACCGAGCTGTTTGCCTTTGCTACGTGTTGAGTGATTACGAGGTCGGGCCAAATCTTCCTTCATCAATTTGATGGAAGCTGCGAAGACTTTAACCCAACTTCAATACTATTACTAGCTATCTCCATGTAATATGAGGAATTAATTTCTGCTCATGAGTCATGGCCCAGTCGGTTACACATTGTCTGTTCCCACTTCCCACAGCTAGCCCATCCACTCGTGGAGATGGACCGACCCATGGAGTCATGGACCCACACCTCTGCCCTCTCTATGTGAATGTGGACTTCTTCCGGTCCGATCATTATAAATTCTGGTGTCGGCATTGCTATCAGGTATCCAAGAGGGATCTCCGAGCTCCACTCCATATGCCTCAAACTATTTAAAGGTAGACAAACACAACAATCCTTCCTAAGGTCAACGAGTCTATAGCTTTTCGTTAACCAATCAGAGTTGCTCATCCTCTTTATCAGCTCCAATTTTCTTATTATCTCTACTGTTGATGTTGAGTCATCAATGATTTGGTGCAATTAATTTGTCTATCATACAAGTCTTTCTCAAAAAATAAAAAATAATTAAGTCTTAGGTGGCGTTTGATTGTACTTTTGAAATGTCTGAATTTGAAAATGTTGCTTTTCAGATCTTAAGTGGCGTTTGATTACATTTTTCAGACCCCTTCTTCATTATTTCATTTAACATTAGTTATTTTTATTTTTTATTAATTAGTAATTTTTAATTATTTCATTATTTTTTAAAAATTATTATTTTTTATTTGTGTAAATTATTAATTATTAATTATTTTAATATTTTTATAGTCATTAATTATTTTTTAATTTTAATTATTTTATTTATTAATTAGTAATTATTAATTTATTATTTATTATTCGTATTGTTTTAATATTATTTTGAGGTTGAAAATGATTTTTTATGAGATAATGCAAATTAAACTCAACATTACCAAATAATATATTCTAAGGATAAAATAGTAAAATAGTAAAATCAGTAAATTTCAGATGGTAAAAGGTTGATCCAACACAAACAAACTTATAGATTTAAAGCCTCTAAAAAATTAAAAAGCAGATATACTTTTTTTAGATTTCAAACACAAAAAAATACCTTTTTAACTTTTTTTATGTATGAAATTTTAAATTTATCAAACGCCACTTTAGACTCAAACCCAAGTGGACCCATGATCACCCCTAAACTTGACGCAACTCAACGGGATATTTTTTGATTGGGTTTGGGTAACTAAACCGGACTACCGGAGGGAGAGGTCATACTCATACCCACTTACCGTCATAGTATTTGACCAAAATCCTAGGGGAGATTTTGGTCATAAGCCATTTACTCGATGAAAAAGTATACACGTCGGGTTTTCGCATTGCAACCAATGGCAAAATAGACTTACATCAACCATCCAATCAAAAACAGGCACGTGGAAATTTAACGTAGCTCTGCCCCTCCTATTAATAGTTAATACTGCCCGCCGCGGAAGTGGAAGGTGTTTGCCGTTAGTCGTCGATTGGAGACTCAGAGAGCTCCATCATCAACATATAATTTTGCTCGTTCTTGTTAAAGAGAACAAGTTCACCGCAGAATCTCTGTCTGAGCTTTCATACGGAATGGAAGGTCACGGCCCCGGCGTTGGCCGTGTTTTTGTGCTGATCTTCTGCATCTTCGGAATTTGGTCGGCTTATATAACACAAGGTGTTCTTCAGGAAACAGTGTGAGTTCCAGATCCTTATTTGGTTTTCAATTATTTTCTTTTGTCTTCTTCAGTTGATAGTTTTCTTTGAATATATGGGAATTTAGTACCGTGGACGTGGATCTCTCACAGATTAACTTTTGCGTTTATGAACATCGCTGTTCACAAATCAATGTTTTCCTCTAGGGATATGAATGCAAATATTTTATTGCTATGTAGTTACCAATATTTGGTAAAATTATGATTTGATGGGGAAGAGAATTGATGAGCTCGTTTTAAGAAGGGAAAGTCTAACGTTTACAGTCTCATACTCCCATTTTTATATAAAAAAATCAAAATTCAAAGCCTTTGACACTAAATTAATGTATACACATACCTAAATCCAAATTATAGTATATATTTTTGTGCTCCTATTTCTTCCTTTTTTTTTGTTCGTACTTATAAGTTGCAGAATTCCATGGCAATCCAGTTACGGAGCGTTTTTCTTTCTTTTCCTTGTCAAATTTCAATTTCTATTTTGAATTTTGAGGTCTTAGGTTAGGAATTCTTTTTTATTTTTATTTTTCAGTTGATGAAGTATTAATGATTCTTATTTAGCCAATTTGAACTAGTTCTATTATTTCTTTGTTCAGTCTAATGTTAGAATACCAATTCATTATGTTTCGTTGAAATAAGCATTTGGCTCCTTGGGATATAAAAAAGTTGTCGATTTATAGAAAATGTGGCAGGTTTTCTAAATGATCTCCTCATGTTTTCAGGTCCACCAAGAGATTTGGCCCAGATGGGAAACGGTTTGAGCATCTTTCATTCTTGAACTTAGCTCAAAATGTAGTTTGTTTAATCTGGTCATTTATAAGTAAGTTTAAGTTTACTTTTACTTTTTTGATGCATTTGAGTCATTTATTTGTCTTTTCCTCGTCTAGCATTAGATTCAATGTTCTATCAGATTATGAAGCTACTCCTTATACTTCTTCTACAATCTTTGTGAATAGTGATAAAACTGTGGTCCAGAGGTAGTGCTGGCGGTGCTCCTTGGTGGAGTTATTGGAGTGCTGGCATCACCAACACGATAGGTCCAGCCATGGGAATTGAAGCGTTAAAGTATATCAGTTACCCAGCACAGGTATGCTTAATTCTTCTTTTGAAAATTATGTTTATAAAAATATCATCTTTCTTTTGTATATTGTGTTTTGACCTTTTTACCCCATTTGTGTTACTTTAAGGAAAGTTTGACATGTATTCATCTTTGGTAATTTTATACATTCTTGTAATTTCTTAGCTTTCAACTTTAAATTTGGCTCAGATGAAAGCTTAACTGCTTCAGTTTTGAACACGGGTGGGATCGCTTGGGTTCTTTCTTCAAAATAGAGTGTCTTTGATCTAGGGAAGCTATTTTGAGTGCGACTTCCACTTTAGAATAGCAGTTTAACAAGTGTCACATGTTATACGTCATTTGGACTTCCAGGCACATACATCACAACCCTCAAGGATGAAGCTTAAGCTTCTATGTTGTCATAACTTTATTCTCTTTTGGTCTCCCTTGTCATTCAAACTAAGGAAAGCCACTGTCTTCTAGATTTTTTTTTTTTTTGCCTTCCATTTTCTTTGCAACTAAATGCAATGGTACCATATTTTATATTTAGAATTCATTGGTTTCTTTAGCACAGATTTCTAGTATCATGAAACAGTTATCTCCGATTTCAGGTTCTGTAGATGGCAATTGCAAATATGAAACCTTTACTTAATCACGTCTCTCCAAATTTGTAGAAGCTTGTCATGTTTTCTTTGTGTTGTTATTTGGATACACTTAGGGCTGTTTTTTTCTTAACGTGAAATATTCCTACTATTGAATTTATGCAATTCTGGAAAGTGGCTTTCTTATTCTATTATTCTACTTGCAGGTCCTTGCAAAATCCTCCAAAATGATTCCAGGTAATTTTTGATGCGCTTTTGTATATTATTATAGGTCACAATAACAAGCAAAATTTCTAGTATTAAAATTTATCATTAATAATGAAGAGAAAAAAATCATGGATGCACAAAAAGTTAATAATAATAATCACCCATTGTATTTTTAGTAGTCGCTCAAGATTGAATAGACACTTAAAAGGAGAAGAAAAGAATAAAAAAAGAAGAGGGAGAAAAGAGAGAGAGAGAGAGAGAGAGAGAGAGATTTTGATAAAAGAGAGTTGGATTGATGTTTGAAACTGTCGCCCCCCTCTTAAATTTATATACATAGTATCATACTTGTAAAAGGACTGAATTGCTTACATGGCAAGATAAGATAGATAAGATAAAGCTGAAAAAAGACTAATCCTAATCTTATAAAAGACTTGTTCTAATCTTATCATAAAGAACTAATCCTAATCATAACTTGTTGCTGACATACGAATAGTGGGGACCACCTTAGTGGGGTCCACATTAGTGTTCTCTACACTCTCCCTTAAGTTGGGAATAGATGTTTGCCATTCCCAAGTTGCATAGATCTGCCTCTAACTTCTTCCTTGAAACCGCCTTGGTGAGAAGGTCTACTAGTTGCATGTCGGAGGTGATGTATGGAAGACATACTTCCTTGAGAACCCTTTCTCTGATAAAATGTCGATCCACTTCAATATGCTTAGTTCTGTCGTGTTGTACCGGATTATGGGCTATATTGATGGCAGCCTGATTATCACATTTAAACATCAAGGGCTTCTCATAAACAATACCTAACTCCTCAAATAATGATCTCAACTATAGAATCTCAGCTACACCATTTGCCATGGACATATATTCAGTTTTAGCACTGGAACGAGAAACAACATTTTGTTTCTTACTCCTCTAAGAGACAAGGTTACCTCCTATAAAAGCACAATATTCAGAGGTAGATCTTTGATCATTAATACACCCAGCCCAATCATCATCTGTGTAAACTTCTATCTCCATGTGATCATTATTCTTGAATAAAATGTCTCTACCTGGGCACCTCTTCAAATATGTTAGTATCCTCTCAACTGCAAGGAGGTGAGTAGTCCTAGAAGAGTGCATATACTGACTAACCACACTGACTGCATAACTGATGTCGGGTCGAGTGAGACAAAGATAGAGAAGTTTTCTAACTAACCGTTGGAACTCAGCTTCATCTTCAAGGGACTCTCCACCCTCTGCACTGATCTTGTGATTTTGTTCAATGGGTGTGTCAACAGGCTTAATACCCAACTTTCTTGTTTCTTTCAACAGGTCAAGAACATACTTTCTTTGAGAAACAAAAATCTCATGCTTGGACCTGGCTACCTCAATGCCCAAGAAGTATCGTAGTTCTCCTAGATCTTTTACCTCAAACTCTTGATGAAGGGGTTGCTTAAGGGACTCAATCTCAGTATTATCATTTCCTGTTACTACAATATCATCCACATATACAGCAAAAAAGGTTAAGGAAGAATCCATTCTCTTAATAAACAAGGTGTGGTCTGACTGAGCCTGTACATATCCGAACCTTTCAAAGGGCTTATCTAAATCTATCAAACCAAGCTCTAGGGGACTGTTTTAGTCCATACAAGGCTTTGTTCAACCGACAAACCTTCCTTCCTATCTCTGTACCATAAAATCCAAGAGACAACTGCATGTAAATTTTCTTCTTGCAAGTCTCTGTTGAGGAAGGCATTTTTAACATCCATTTGATACAACAGCCAAGAATAACTGGCTGCAAGAAATAATAAGACTCTGATAGTGGTCATCTTTGCTACTAGTGCAAAAGTTTCCAAGTAGTCAATACCATATGTTTGAGTAAATCCTTTTGCAACTAACCCGGCCTTATACCTTTCAATAGAACCATCAACATTATGTTTTATAGTGAATACCTATCTACATCCAACCGGTTTCTTACCTTTAGAGTGATCAACTATCTCCCAAGTATTGTTTCTGATGAGGGCATCCATTTTTGCTTTTATTGCATCTTTCCATTCTGGTACTTCCAAAGCTTCCTTTATTGTTCTAGGAATGGGAACATCGACAATGGGTGCGAGAAAAGACTTATAGGAGGGAGACAAATGATTGTAGGACAAGAACTGAGAAATGTTGTAAGCTGTGAATGTGGTGCAACGACGCTTGCCCTTACGAACTGCTATGGGAAGATCAAGATCATCTAATGAAGGTGAAGGCTCCATGGTGGGATGTCTCTCATATGTAGTATCTGTGGTACTTGGATCTGGCTCTGCATAAGGAATTGGGGCTACTGTGGTATCGGGATCTGGACCTGTAGAGGAGACTGGGACTAGCCTGCACTGTTGATGTTCGAAATCAACTTGTCTCCATCGTCTGTGATAGACTCTCACATCCCTGCATCTCTGACAGCCCTCCCCATTACACCCCTCTTCACTTAATGGGATAGGTAAAGGAACTTTTGACGAGTTAATCCCAACCTTACTACTCTCCCCCCGAGGAGAAACCCTTGGATAATAGGGTACATTTTCAAAGAAAGTGACATCCATTGAGACAAATCTTTTCCCAGACGTAGGTTCATAGCAGCAATATCCCTTTTGAGTTTGTGCATAACTAAGGAAAATACATTTTGAGGCCTTATGGTCAAACTTGGAACAATGAGGGCCAAGAATCTGAGCAAAGCATGTACAATCAAAGGTTTTAAGGGGAATGGTAAATAACTCTTTATCAGGATATAAGAGGGTAAATGGAGGTTTCATGTCAAGAACCCGTGAAGGAATTCTATTGATGAGATACACTGCTGTAAGAATAGCATCCCCCCAGAAATGTATAGGCACATGGGAGGTAAACATAATGCTTCTGACTACCTCCAATATGTGTCTATTCTTTCTCTCAGCAACCCCATTTTGCTGTGGTGTATTGAGAACAGGTACTCTGATGGATAATCCCATGTTCAAGCAAATAGGAGGCTAATGGTTTGCAAAATATTCTTTCGCATTATTAGATCTAAAAATTTTGATTTTAACCCCAAATTGGGTTAAAATCATCTGATGAAAGATCCGGGTTAATGCTGGAACCTCATCTCGAGAATGCATGAGATAAATCCACAAAAAAACGAGTATAGCCATCAACAAACAATAGGAAATATTTGTACCCCCCCATGGCAGTGGTACGGTAAGGTCCCCAAACATCAATATGCACAATTTCAAAGGGAATATTATTTCTATTATTACTTAATGAATATGTTGTCCTACAGTGTTTTGCAAATTTACAACTCTCACATTTCAAACTAGACATCTAGATAGATTCAAATAAACTAGGAAACAAACTCTTCAAAGCCCGAAAAGATAAATGACCCATCCTATTATGCCAAAGCAAAACCTGATCAACAGACTAAGAAACACAAGACCTCTTAGTCTCACTATCTTCCCAATGAGGACTCCCTCCAAGCAGATAGACTCCATTTGCCTCATGGCCAGTCCCAATCACCTTCCTTGTCTCTAGATCCTAAAAAACACATCGATCCGAAAAAAAGGTTATTGAACAATTCTGGTTTTTTGTAATGCTACTAACTGAAAGCAAGTTAGTACTAAGCTTAGGAACATGCAAAACCGAAGATAAGGAAATAGCATTAGACAACTTGATGTCTCCCTTGCCAGAAATAGGAATGAGGGAGCCATCAACAATGGACACTTTGTATCCGCCTAAAGATAAGTGATAGGTAGTAAATAGTGACGGCAAGCCAGTCATATGGTCAAATGCTCCAGAATCTATTATCCATGAATGTTCTGTATTACCTGTAGCTGAGGCATGGTGAGCTGAGGCCCGATTACCTGAAGGAGCAAAAACTGAGGTAAGGGGTGCTGATGGTGTCTGAGGAGGTGGAGCTGAATTACCAACTTCATTTTCCAGCTGAATTAGAGCAGCTCGAACAGTAGCTAGAGTGTCCAGAGGATTGCCTTTTGTGCTAGACGAGGTTGTACTATTAGTTTTAACAGCCATATTTGCATTCCCCTTTTTGTTTCTGAGTTTTGCTGGAACTAGATGTGGATGCAACTTCCAACAGGTATCTTTAGTATGTCATCCGCAATCATATATACATATAGATTTTATAATTAATAAATTTAGTACTTTATGTTTATGTAAATTTATTTCATATATGTAAGTTAAAAGTGATTAAATTTTTACTTTTTAATTCTTTCTTTATTTTAAAAATAATGAATCAGACTCAGATTAAACCCGAATTCTTGACCTCTATGCAGTGATGTTGATGGGTACACTTGTTTATGGAATTAAATACACTTTTCCTGAGTATATATGTACTTTCCTTGTTGCTGGAGGGGTATCAGCATTTGCTCTTTTAAAGGTGAGGCATTTTATCTGCTGAGTTATAGTTTTGAAGTCGGGTCTTAGTTTTACCTTTTTGTGCTTTGGAGCAAACAAAGGAGTCTCTGATTGATTGATATGTCTATTACTTTTTAACTATCTACCTTATCTTTTGCTCATTGATTGATTACAGACTAGCTCAAAGACCATAAGCAAACTGGCTCACCCAAATGCACCCCTTGGATATGGTCTGTGTTTCCTGAACTTGGCTTTTGATGGATTTACAAATGCTACTCAGGATTCAATAACAGCAAGGTATTAGCTATTAACAGTTCAAGAGTTGATTAAAAGTGCATATATGGATTCTCTGTCACTGTAATGAAGTTGCTATTAATTTCATTGATAATCCCAGTTAGTAATAACTCTAACCTACCACCAAAAAAAAATGCCCATTCTTGTAATTGTGTTGGAACTACCTGGGAAAGGATTTTTGTTGATATTCTCTTTTCCAGTTTTAATATGCTAATACATCAAATGACAATTCTTAACAATGACAAATATGTAGAAAAGCTATGCCATGAAATGATAATCTTAGGCTGTGTTTGGTTTGACAGAAAATAAGATAGAAACAGAAAGTTGAGGGGAAGTTCTTAAATAGATTAACAAAACTCCTTTAGAACTTTCCCTTAACTTTCTATTTCTCTCTTATTTTCTGTCAAACAAAACATAGCCTTATATGGAATGTATCTTGACATTGCCCTTGCAAAATCTGCAATTGTATTAGGAAGTAAGGAGTTAAAAGGGACTAATAAGTATGAAAAAAATTCCAGGGCATCTTTGAATAAGTGCTTTGATAGCCATGCTATGGTTTGAACATACACCTTTTCTATCTTGATATGCCCATTGTTTAGCCAGCTTGCCGTGTCACACAAGTATATACTTTTAGTGGGTAGGACATGTCTGGTCTCAAGACTCACAGATTCACATGACCATATATTGTAGGGGTTAGCTTTGCTTATTACTGTCTTGGATATTGGTGTTTAGCATCTAATTCAAGATCTTAATTTCTGTAAAAACATCATATGTAAGTCAGAAGGAAAAAGAGGAAAAAGGTTTAAGTGGAAAAAGAAAATCGAGTAGCAGCATAAGGTGCAATAGGAAGATATTCTTTTTCTTTATAGGGGAGAAAGTCTGCATCTTCTTTCCCGTTTATGATTCATAATTTCTTATTGGTTTCTTTTGAGAATTAGATATTTGGCTCTTGCAATTAATGCATTCTCATGCATCCTAAACAGACATGCTTCTAACCAGCATGGTTTCTCATGTATAGGTATCCAAAGACAAGTGCTTGGGATATAATGTTTGGAATGAATCTTTGGGGTTCCATATATAACATGGTCTACATGTTTGGTTGGCCACATGGCAGTGGATTTGAGGCAGTCCAGTTCTGCAAGCAGCATCCAGAGGCAGCTTGGGACATCTTTGTCTACTGTCTGTGTGGAGCAGTGGGCCAGAACTTTATCTTCTTGACTATAAGCAGATTTGGCTCACTTGCAAACACCACCATTACCACAACCCGCAAGTTTGTGAGCATCGTGGTGTCTTCACTGTTGAGTGGCAATCCCCTTTCATCAAAGCAATGGGGGAGTGTTTTCATGGTCTTCTCTGGGTTGTCATATCAGATCTACCTCAAGTGGAGGAAATTGCAGAGACTACAGAAGAAGAGAAAGTCCATGTGAGCAACAGTTTTTTATTTTTTACATTACTCATCTGGTTTTCATTTTTGTTATAATCTGGGACTAAGCCTTAAGGTTTAGTGTTCCCTTCATTTTAGATGGTTCTTTAGAATATCAGCCCAGGAATTGAATAGATCTCTCATGAGATATGCTGTAAATTTGCAGTTTTGGTAATGTAAACTAGTTTTCAGTGTTATCCTAGCTAAATCTATAAACTTCATGTATAATTTTTTCTGAACTGTGTATTTTAATTAGGGGTGAAAGCCTCAGAACCAGTCTCAGTGTCTTACTCCCAAACTGTTCACATCGATTCTGTATTTCTGTAAATCACTGCACTCCATGAGGAAGGTCATTAATTTGCATTCTTCCTCACCCAAATTCTAGGCTGAAAGAAAACTCAAAATAGTTGAACCACCAATGCTTTTCATGCTCAGTTTGGAAGGAGTACAAACATGAATATGTACAGTGCAAATACATACAAAATACTAGATTTTGCACTCTACATATTGTATTTATACTCCTTCCAAATGGAGTCATAGAGAAAACCAATTGCTTCGTTGTTCAACAGTTGCATGTACTACATTTTTCATACCCTTAGTTTGGGACATTTAAAGAAAACCCACCCTGGACAAGGTAAATTTTCTTTAAAAATGTAGTCTTTGTTATATCTCCTACTTCTCTTGTATCATATGCTAAGATTTTTTCATAATATTACCCATCTTGTGCTTTGTGGAATTAGTGGAGCACGCACGTGCACCGCTTCTGATAAGATTTTGGCTTTCGAAACTGCATCTCTTGTTTCATTAGTTTTGATTCAGCACCTCAAAAGTCCTGAATCGATGAGATGGTGTATAAATAAGTGTCGAAAGGGACTAATCTGATTGTTAAAAAGTAACATATCATGCTTCCATCTTCACTGAAACGCAGTTGATACTTAAAATGAAAAAAAAGGAGGGAAAAGAATAATCAATTTGGACAATCTCATTACATCAAATGGTATGTTGAGTGTGCAAACTCTAGCAGGAGGAAATCATGAATAATCCTAAGTCCTAACAATTTCATTTGAAAATGCATCATTCTTACATAGTCAATGAGTGAGATTTAATTTAAGCAATGGATCACTATGTTTTAACGAGTGTTTTAAAATCCAATTCAGAAATTGAACCATTTTTATCTCTGGGTGGTAAATCAGTGGTTAACAATTCAGGTCAAATGATGAGTCAACCCATCATGTCATATATTATAAATAAAATATTAAAATGCACAAAAAATGACAAAAGAAATATATAACTAAATTATTATATATGCACATAATAAGAACATATTATGTACTGTGAAACGTTGTTGTAGGGGGGGGGGGTGTGCATGCTAAATGAGTTGTTGACAGATTCTAGATTTAGGGGCTAAATGGATCTGGTCCACCTCGATGGGATTTCTTAAAAAATAAATGATATTTACTGAAGCTGCTGTACTTCAGCGGTTCAGCTCTCTCAAATAAGCAGAGAGCTTGAATCTACGGCTAATAAAAAGCATGTTAATTGACAGTTTGGCATCCGACTGTACATTGGAAGGATCTCCACGTCATGGAGAGGTGGTCCTTAATGCGGGCAGCTGGAAGCTGTTCTGTCAATGTGTTAATATGCTTTTAGCTGGCAGCAGACCCATCACAATTTTGTAAGGATGGGATCTTTTGAAAACAAAAACCCTATGAAGATTTTGAAACATGAAAATCTAGCTGCACATTGAAAATATCTACACAAATTTAAGATTTATGTACAGAGGTATTCTTTATAAATGGTTAGATTTCACGAGGAGATGCAAGCTCATTTTGTACTATTTATCGTCGGTAATGAAAAATATTCACTTATTATTAAAAAAACTTATATATATTAAAGAGGGTGGCACAAAACTATTATGTGATTAAAAAAAAAAAAAACTATGATATACTTAACGTTGAATACTTGCGTGCATCCCTATTTTCGGGCTCTCATGTTTGATCTTTGGTCTGAATTGAAAAAATAAATAACATAAATAGAAAAAATAAAAATATAAAGATTAATGTTGGGGATTCGGATATTTTGGTTATGTTTGGTTTTGAAATTCTTTACCAAAGAGTCACTGTTTGAACTTTGAAGAGTGAATTTTCAATTTTGAGCCAAAAGTAGTTCTTTTTAAAACTTTTTTTTTTTATACTTGTAAGAAGTTTGTCAAACGCCAGCCCTAGGCACCTATGAACTACCACCTGTTGAATCTCTTGAGCATCGGAACAAAGTTGAAACCCTCTGAATCTCTGATATTACTGAATACAGATATCAATAATTATCTGATGAAACAACTGATTTATAGTGGCAGACAGTTTTAAACGTGTAGTTTGGGCCCATTCGATGATGTATCCTGAATTTGGAAGAATTGGACAGGTGGTAATACATGGTGATGTTCGATTCAGTGATTGATCCTAATTATTGACGCTTGAGAAAGGGCAAGTAGTTAGGCATGACGGTCCCAGACACTATGAGATGTGGACTGCAACTTCGGCGAGATCAACTCTCAGGTTTTTGGGCTCCGGTCTGGGTCTAGGCCTGAAATTTCATGATAAACATGTACTTGAATAGGTAAAATAGTGTGGTATATATATTTGTGCATATTCTCTTTTATTTATAATTATAAAATCTAAAATTAAAGGTAAAATAAATAAAAAGAGCTTCTTATTACTAGATCAACTTACCCAAGCCTGGCCAAATCTATTCAAGACTTCAAGTCTGTATAAATTATTGCAGCCATGGTTATGTTGGGTTTAACCCAAGCGACTGGGCTTGGTGGTACTCGGGGCTTTCACTTATGGTTGGAAGTTGGAACATACCGAAACCTGAGGTCCAGTTTTCAGGTTTGGCCTGAATTGGCTCTGAATCAGACCCAATCTGCCCAAAAACTCTAGATCCCACATTAGATAGAATATCGATTTAATGACTCGGGTCTAAGTCTTCAAGATGGCTGGAGTTTTGAAGATTTTCAGAAATAGAATTTAAAAACCATTTTGTCTCGAGTTTAAGGAAACAGAGGCCATCCCATAGATTGCTGAGGCAGTGAGGCATGGAGAGCAAGAGAAGCGATCCTTTATCCTTGTGTCTCTTCAATAATATTAGCTAGAGAGAGAATCGAAGATTGTGATTGATATTATCTTTGGGAAGATCGAGCCACCTATAGGCATTAAACCTATTATCATCCAAGACATTATATCAACCATCAATCACGGTGGCCGCAAAGAACAGAATGGTTAGTCTCTAGAAGTAAAGAAGTAAATGCCAGCCAGTAACTTCATGGGCTAAAGAGTTGCAAGCTTGCAGCCATGCGGAGCAAAAGAAAAGATTGTTAGGAGGTAGAGATTTAAATTACTATTCCACGCTGGTACGCTCACATATCTACACTTACAGAGTTACAGTTCATACCCGTACTCAGGAATCTCGTTACTTGGTATATAAAATTGAAAGGGTATTTTAACTGCAAAAAGGAGATAAGTCCTTCAAATAAGGAATGCTAAATGCATCCAAAAGCTTATTTTCCCACAGGCCATTAGACCTGGCAATCGGGTTGAGCGGGTCGGGTTCGGGTTGGGCCAAGGTATTTTTGGTTGATTTCATGTCGAGTTGAATTTCAGGTTGGATTGTCAAATGCTAAACCCTAACCCTAAATGTTTGGGTTTGGATTGACCCATGGGTCAACTCTAGTCATCCCAAAAAATAATTGAAATTTAAAAAAATAAAGAAAAATGTCAAAATTAAAAAAATTAACCTTAAAATTCCAAATATAAAATAAAAACTTGAATATTTAACAATTTAAAGAGTAAACAATAAAAAGTAAAGAATAAATAATAAAAACTAAAGAGTGGAAACTTCTAACAATGTATAAATAATCCCAATTAGACTTGACAATCGGATCAACGGGTTGACCCATGACCCAACCCACTTTTTTCGGGTCGGGTCGGTCGTTTTCACATTCAAATTGCTAAAATATGAGACCCTATCCCTATATTTTTTTGGGTTGGGTTGGGTCAGGTTCGTGGGTTGGATAAACTTTTTGCCAGGTCTACAGGCCACAATGAACCATAATAAGATGTCTCAAAAACCACTCTCGTTCTATAACATCTACAAAGACAGAAAAACCCGGAACCAGAACAGGAACAAGTCTTTTGATCATGTCTCTAGGTAATATCATCTTTCCCCTTCTCTTTATCGACATTCTTCTCTTTGATGTGGAAAGGGAAAAACCAAGGTTCAAAGTATCATTACGTATCGGCCCATATCAGTTGATACGTATCGTTCTGGGACCCTTCCGATACGCCCCTACAGTTGGTGTATCAGGGGTCTGACCGGTTCAGGGGATAGAGGGGTCCTAGACCGACTCCCTTGAATCAGTTTTGAAAAAAAAAAGTAAAAAAACAAATACCGAAACGCCCAATACACCCCTACTGGCATATCAGGTGTATCGATATTTTGAACTTTGGGCAAAACTATCACAACACAGTGTTGATGAGTAATTTTCAATGCATTTGTTTCCTCCTAATATTTGTTCATTCGAATATCATGAAACGAAGAGAATATTGATCAAAAGAGAAAAAAAAAGTAACAAAAGAATAGATGAAGAAACACTCGTACACACAAAACCAATAGCACATTCTCTTCTTTAATTATAGTAAGTTACATCAAATAGTTACATTCATGACAAAATCCAACTTAGAAAAGGAAGAAAATAATAATAAAAAAAGAAACTCTTATTCTATACCCTCTGCACACCAAAATCAAATCAATAAAAATCCAACTTCAACTAGGGTTCATCCTCCTTTTGCTCTTTCTATTTTTTTTATAACTATTTTTGTTTTTCCTAAGATATGTATGGGAGGTGCCCAAACTGCCGATGTATAATTACACTCTTAAAAAAAGACAAGGTTGGTATGCTGCCATATTATGTACAGATGACAAATAGGACTAAAATCAAGCAATTCTAGAGAAGACTCGGGAGAAAAAAAAAATCAAGCAATTCAACAAACACTCATACTGGAACTCAATGTGAGAATTCAGGCTCACAGAACACATTGTAAGATCGGATGGGCAATGCTAGAATGCTCAGGGAAGATACTAAAACATTCTAAGACAGTTTTGAAGTGCAGATCTTAGAACACCTTTGCTAAAAATCAGGTATGGTGGCCTGTGAACCATGGACTCTGAACTCAAGATGATATTTGACAAACCTTTCCAAACAATTAGATGGTGAGGATGAACTAGCAATTTCCTAGTGCACAAAATTCTGCAGGTAAGATGGGAAGCATAGATTGGTCAGAGGCTATGGAGGAGGGCCCTTCTGCAAGGTGGTGGATGTGAAGTGCTTGTGCCAGGGCCAGAGATTGGTGAATCCGTACCAAGTGTTTTCAGAAGGAAGTTCCTCTCCTGAAAAATGCATTGAAAATTATTAGTTAATAGTTAGTCCCACATAAGAACACAGAGAAAAACAATTCAATATTTTTAAACCCTGAGATTGTAGCCTTGGGAACATTAATGAAATTCACTGTAAACAATTGTCTAGTTGTGGGATATTTTATCCAATTTTAACAGTCCCTTCAAATGCTATATACCTATACATTGAAAGGCATAGTTCAACTACCAGATGCTAAAGCAAAACTGACGATTCTACTCAGTGCAAGCACCTATAACACCCAGTCTGTGCAAAAGAGAAGAAAATTAGTGACCACTGCATCATTCTTAGGGTTGCATGTTTTCCATTAAATGAGACAAGTGACAGTTTTAAATTTGAGAAAAGAATGTGCCCTCATTCGTAGAGCTTGTGGTTTCTAAAGTATTCCAATTCAATGCCTATCTACGGATTCCCTAATTTTATCTTTCTTCTCTTGTGGAGAAGCTTTTTAACAATAGAATGCATTGCCCATTAGTTTATTTCATTATGAAACACAGAGATTAAAAGAAGAATATACGAATTCATTTGAAAACCATTAATGTTTAGAGGCCACAACATTAGAGACCTTATTGTATTAGAATCCAAAGATAAGAATACTAGAGTAACTTACACTTTCTGAAAATTTTGGGCTTGGAATTCCAGCTGCTAAAGATCGGAACAGTGGAATTACTTGAAGAGGGGAGCTGAACTCTGTATGAAACAGTGCAGAAACAACTTCTTCATTACCCTTTGGCTCATCACATGAGAGAAAGGTTCCTGCAGCAGTTAGATTAGTACTTCAGTTTCATAGAACAATCTGATTAGCAAAATTAATTTTCTGAGGTAAAATTAAAGATAGGAAATAAAGAAAAGGTGGTGCACTTTCTATGAAGATTACCTTGAGCAGTGCTTACACAGATCCCATCTTCACAGCCATCACCACCATTCCGTACTTCCGCATGAATGGGCATTGAGACAACACTGCCATCCTGGTGTAATGAACATACCTCAACTTGAGGTTGTTCTGTTTTATCACCTGATGCATGGGACTGGGCGGTTGATCCAGTGCTGTACTCAGAACTGCCAGGAGACTCATATAGATTGGGTTGCCTATACAATAAACCAGTCAGCAATTAGATTCTGTGCCACAAGTAAGACGTCTTTCAATTTGAATAACCACCACATTTATTACCTCCAAGAAAGCTCGTTTCCCATGTTACTGCTCTTTAGATCCTCTACCAAGTTCTTGAAATCTTCAGTTAAAAAATCCACTTCAGAGATTTTGTATGTGTCAAAATCGCCTTCTTTTGTTCGACTTAAGAACTCTTGTAGTTCCTGAATATTAGATTTGACTAGATAAGAGGATATACTAATATTTCTCTGATGATAATTTAGCAACTAATATTATTCTCACCTTCCAAGCATTTTCAAGACTTTGATTGGTGTTCTCTGTATTAACCTTTAGTGCAAGAGAGCTGAGCAGTTCTGCTTGTTGCATCAAAGCAGCAATCTTTGGATCATCCCTTTTAAGAAATGTTCCTTGAACCTCATTATTTGCAACTGATTTTTTATCAGAAGGAAAAGCTGGTGTTAATTTTAATCTCTGTAAATAATAAAATTCCAATAAAAGAAAAGGATTAATCAACAAATAGTGACAAATCTCTGGAAGGGGAAAGGCCACCAATGTTATGAGTCCTGCATGACTAGGTTGTTTTCTCATACATTCACTGTGCTTAATATTTCAGTTTTCAGAGGTGGTTTACCATATTTGGAGGCTGTGTGGGTGTTGTTGCCAACGTGTTGCTGAGATTGCAACTCGCCAGCATTGTGGAAGTTTTGAATCAATACTGCAAAAGGAGGCCTTATCTGCTGGTGCTCTGTTTTTGCACATTCCTTGGTTATTTCTCCTTTGGTGGTGTTATCCTCTGTGAGACTGGAGATGTGGGTCCTGCAGTTGAGTAACTTTGAGACTTGTAGGTAAAAACATCGGGTCCCGTTTTCATGTACAACTAGACAATTGTTTCCGTACCTCATCCTCTTAAGAGGTGCTGCAGATTCAGCAGATTCATCTCCCAAAACGAGTCCATTTTGAAATATTACTCTCTTGTTGTTAGGATTGATGTAAGAAGCGTTATTCTCCTTTGATAGAGCCTCATGTTTTGCTCTTTTCTTGCACAGGGTGGAGAACCGGTTCTTCACAGCGTTATCCGTTCTGCACTAGCCAGAGCAATAACGACTTTATGTCTCATACTATTGGGAATAAAGCAGTGATGGTGATGTATCGGAGAAAGATGAAAAGGGAAATAGCATACACCATAAAGCAAGTTTATTTACCTGCCAGAAACCACTTTTGCTATTTCAGTCCATCTATTACCGAAAATCTTCTGAGCCTGCAAATCACATTTGGGCAATTAACCAATTAGTTCACAACCATATCCAATGGCCAATAAGTTTCCATCATCATAAAGGGATGAGAGAATAACTAAAAATTTCGATAAAGGCGTCGGTCTGAGGTTCTGAAACAACCTAATACTGGTTTTCTTTTTCTGAGAACCAAAATTAACTTGATATAAGCCGGACCTGAGGGCTATCAAAAATAAGTTGAAAAAAGAAAATCATTATTCCCAAACAAAGTCTTAAATTAGAGTACGCCCGAGAAATTATCAAATTAAGCACAGAAGGAAAGAATAAAAACGCAATGTCGCCGTGAAAATTTGGGGAAACAATAGCATATCAGGCATGTACTCGATGAAGGAAGTACCACCTAAAGGTATCCAATCCATATGGGGGAATTATCTCTGAAAGGATTTCTTGCAGTCCTAGGAAAAGGAGCCAGAGATCCTACTTGTGAGAAACAGAAACAGAACATAGTATGAGGAAACGATGGTACCCAAACAAACGTAACTACCCCAAGTATACCAACTTCCCCATTTCTGAGAGAGCCATAATCTCTGCCTAATAGAGTTATCCAATATACCTTATTCCCATTTTCGAGACATGCATAGAAACTCTGCAGAGAGCTTTGTAATTCATAGGAAAGAGTACTAAAAAGTCCTACCTTTTTAAGTTAAAGACGGAAGCAGGTTAAGCAAGCAGTGTTAAGTACCTCGCATAAGATCATGTCTTCCTCCGGTGACCACCCTCCTTTCTTGCATTCTGAATTTAAGTAAGTGTACCATCTGAGGTAAACCGGAGAAGTGGTGAGAAAAGATAACAAATAGTTCTAATGAAAGAACAAGTTTAGGATGTGGGAGAAAAATCACTATAGAATACAGATAACCAACCTTCTTCTGCACTGTCTGGTTGTTTTGTCCTTGAACTTGGCTGCAATAATCGACCAGCTGCAGACACGAATACAATAGACCAAGTCTTTAGCTTCAAAATACAATCATCTAAGGAACGAAGTGCGTTCTGCATTAAATAACCTAGAGATATCGAGAGATGAATGAAACTCTACTTTTCAGTTCCATGGATGCTGATCTGTTCCCGTAGTATATCATCCTCCTGCATTTGGATTTTGTTTTCCCATATCAGATGGACAAGTTAGCAAAAAGCAGAGGGGCAGGATGAGGAAGAGTTGGAGGAAGGAAGAAGAAACCTGTTGAGTCCATGTAACTATGTGGCGCTCTTTGGGCTTGGTAATGGTAGTAGCAGACTCTGCTTTGGGTGTTTCATGGAGCTTCATGTTGGGCACTGTATGTGAACCTGTGTTACTATGTTCGGGTTCGGCCTCCTCCTCCTCCCTTTATGAGGATCAACTCGCATGTTAAAGCAAGGAACTTTTCCGATCACATGTGTATTATATCTATAAATAAAGCATATAAAGGGCAAAAAGGAGTCGTCGTCTCCGTCGGTTGTCTTTACAGATTAGATACCGTTGCTTTCAGAACGGGAACAACAAACCATACATCTCCGTCGAAGCTCTCAATCACTATCTGTAGGAACTCAGGATTGCTTGCATAGGATTCCAACTTTTCAGAAATCTCTGATGTATCTAAAACAAGGAATTATCAGACTAATAATCCGATGGCACAAAAAATGCCTCTGACGGATCAACGCTGGTCGCTCATCGCTGGGCTAATCCACGGAATTATGTATTTATCTTAGAGAGAACTGCTCTAAAAAATCGTCAAAAAGGAAAAAAAAAAAAAAAAGAAAAGGCACGTAGAAAAAAAACATACTTGGGCGACAAGAGAACGTAGCAGACAAGATATACGCGTAGAAGTTAGAAAATATGGAGGAGGACGTAATCTATGTATCGGGAGTAATATAAACAAAGGGAGAGTGGGGGGGGTAATGGATGATTTTGAAAATTTAAAATCCCCCGGACAAGAGGAACTGGAAAGATAGCGAGGTAATACGATTGGGTATGGAAATAGAAGATGGAAAGGGATCCAACGCATCTAAATCCGGATAAGACGGTGAAGGGATCTGACTGAGTAACACTGAGAGGCGAAAAAGGCTTGACTCTGATGGCTATTGCAATGTGACAAAGAGAGGGAGAACAGAGGAATACGATTTGGCTTTTGGCGCCGTTAAAGAGGACAAAACAGGGGAGAAATAGAATGGGGAAATAATGTAGATGGATGGATCCGATATCAGTAGCAGTAGTATGAGTGTAACATTATCCAGAGTCTCCGGAACAGACACAGTAATGGATTTGGACGGATGGATGGATCTTTTTTTGGGGGTAGGGTTTTTGTTTACTTTAATATAATAAATACCAAAAGATAAGAAAAGGGGCATGATGCCTTTTAGGGCGCGTACAAGGGAGAGTTTGAAAAATGTAAAAAAAAAAAAAAAAAAACGCTGAAATCCACGAGAGAATAATTAATGGTAATGGAGGATGAGCATTGAGCAGAAGCAGCAGCAGCAGCAGCATAAACTAATAAAGTCAAAGAACGGTCTCGGAAGTGCTCTCTCTGTTGTTTAACAGTTAAACATAAAAATGGTGATGACTCATGAATCAATAGTCATGACACTGTTTTTAACGGAAGGTGACGTTGTTCGTGAACAACTCTACCTACCTTTTAACTACAGCCATATTCCCATGATCTCATATTCTCATCCCATCCCCCACTGTGATAAATTGAATTGAATGCTCCCTTCTCCTTTTGTTCTGTCTTTCTATATTGGCCCTATTATAGAAAGGAGCCAGGAGCCAAGGGGGCAAATGGCAATGGATGGAGCTTGGAGCGCCTCTTTTCCTCACCCTATTCTTTCATTCTTTCTTTTTTATTTCGGTGCTATTTATTTTTGCTTCATCAGGTGGCAACTGGCATGTGGACGGTTGTTTTCTTTCTTTTTTTTTTTTTTACAAATTTACTGTCATCATCATGGTAACTCTGTTTTTTTTTTTTCTGAAAGCTCAATGCCCCAACCCATTCATGATTCATGATTCATTCATCACTCAACTCCGTCCTAGCTGTAATTTTTCAAATTAAACCATTTACACACTTGTTGCTATTTTTTTTTTTTTTATTTCGGGGTGAGGCGGTTGATGGATGATGGAAGATGGATCCATGCATGTTCATATTTCCTCTTCAGATCAGCCCTTGGATACTATGATCAAATCATGTGGTCCCACTTGCTATATAGTTTCATCACGATTTCTTCATTGTGCTTTAAATCATTCTTCAAACTTTTAAATAAGAAAAAAAAAAAGAATGATAAAAGGAGTTATAAATTTAATTCCCTGTGTAAAGTAGGGATATCCCTAGTACAACAAACCCTTTCCATTTATTTTCCTTGTTTTTTAAACTTATATGCTTACATATACATATTTTATGAGCTAAAAACAAGAAGAGGAATATTTCCTTATATTCATTCTCTTACGTTATTTGCATTCAAACTTAGCTTGCTATATATATATATATATATATATATTCAAAACTTAAGTGGACATATGATTAATTGAATGGATTTTAACTGTAAAATAAAAGAAAAAAAATGGGAAAATGCACGCAGTTTGACAGCTTGGTCCGGCAGAATTTAAAGATAAAATGAGGAGTTAGTGGGAGCGAGGAAATTCCCATTTTGGGGATTTTCTTTTTCCCTCTTTCTTGCAAGGATTTCGTCCACATTCCCTGATGGTAATTTGTAAGCGAACATCTAAAAGTGCCTACTACATTCAGTATATTTTCAATTTGAAATAAGCATCCCAAGTGTTTGCCACGTGGACAAAGAAACGGCCATCAAGTGTCGTTGAAGAATGATACAAGACATCTTATCCATATTTCAAAAATAGTGTGTATGTGTTGGTCAAGCCATGTGACTTTGTCTAATCTCACCCTTTCTTGTTGTCTTCTTGATACAGAATTCTCCCGCCAAAATGGCCTTACTATTTAAATACAATTGGATTGGGTTAGTTTATCTTTAATCGAATGAGTATTGTAAATAGTATATGGGGAATGCACAAATGTGGTTTGGGTTGGACTCGGTGGGGAATCTGCACAGAAAATGTAAGTAAGTGAGTGTGTGTATATATGTGACAGGGCTGAGAGGGTCGGTGGTTTTGTCCCATAAACAGAAGCAACTGGCCATCAAAAGGCAAGGCGAGCCGGAAAAGGTCCGACCCGGATGAAACCCTAGGCAAAAGCTTTACCACCACGTCTGCCTTTAAAAAAATAGCTAGGATGACAACTTACTCCGACCCAACCCAACATGCTTTCATCGAGTAAATCCTTAATCTCTGCTTAACCTCAGACTATTTGTAGTAACTCACTCCTATTTATGTATTCTCCTTTTATTCTGTCTCCGGCTCCATGTTTCCCCACATGCACTCTCTATGAGCACTCATGTCTTATTTTTTCTTGGTCGGAAAAACACTCATTCTATGTCTGCATGTATTTTCAAGGGATATGGGGAATTGACCATTGAGAAGCATTTGATCATTAGCGGCCACATATTGGAATTTCCCAATTACCACTCAAAATGGCATTTACATATTGGTGGGAGAGAGAGAACCTAAATTCATTTTAGTGGAGGAATGCTTACTTGATTGGTTGCTTGTTACTAAATTCGTTTCCTTCATCTATATTCTGATTAGACGGAATTTGAATTTTGAATTCTTTGTCTTCAAACAGGGCACTCCTCCTCCTGCCTACTAAAACAAGAATTAAAAAAAAAAAAAAAGGGGTTTCTAGAAGGGATTTGGTCATTGGTCTTACAGCATCATCGCTGCAAGTGTAAGACAATCTTGTTTGGGTGGGGGTGGGTGGAGCCTAATGATGGACCTTGGATGAACAACTTTGGGGGGCCTTATTACGATAAGATTTTATTATTCTTTGAAAAATTTCTTTCTGAAACCCAGGCTCTGATGAGTGTTGAGTTGATATACAGTGTTGGGTCAATATAAAATTGCAAGTTTCTAAATAAAAAGAAATAAATAAATAAAACAAGTTATGGAGCATGGGCCACAAAAGGGAATTTGTAATTCAATTATCTTCGTCCAAAAGCTTGACAACGTCAGTTATTACAAGAATCCCACTACTTTGTACCATACTATTGTTGGATGTGGATCTAACAACACATAAAGAAGTACATTTTTTGAATCAATCGTGGATGACGGATGTGTGTGAGGTAGGGCTATGGAACCAGTAATGATGACTAATGCCATCCATACCAATTACCCTAATCTGTTCTGTTATTTAAACCCTAATTACCATTTAGTCCCAAATTTGATTTTCTTTATAGCAAGAGGAGGAGCCGAGCTTGGAAGCCCAAAGCTTGACACCGAGGAAGAAAAATAGAAAGCGGTGAGAGTGACTTGTTCGTGGGGAGTGGGGAGACCCAAGTTCCCACAGAGATTGGTATTGGAGCTGGTGGGGCCGTCCTTTGCGCGCCTGCTCATCATTTGCAGCCGAACCGCCTCCCAAGTCCCAACCAATTGAGAATTTGAGATTTGAGAGAGACGGGTCTCTCCTCAAACACATGGGCCTTTCTTTGTTTGCTCAATTGCTCTGGTTTTTAAGTTTTAACCTAAAGCAAATCCGAATGATTAAGGGTCCGTTCGGTTTGTAGGAATAGAGGTTTGGAATCAGATTTCAACTGTTTGGTTGGGTGGAATCAGAATTCTATTCTTATTTCTGCTGGAATAATAGCATTCTTCCATTTGAGGGAATGGCCATTCTCTATTCCTTTTTAGGAATAAAATCTCATTCCTACTGATTCTAATTCTCATTCCTATTCTTGTTTGAACCAAACAAATTATGAAAGTGGACCATTCTAATTCTGATTTCAAGAATTCCGATTTCAATTTCAATTTCAATTACAAAACAAACGGACCCCTAGTTTCACTAAACATTATAATTCAATGACCGTACCATATTTCTTTCTCATTAATTTGGCATTAAGCACCTAATCCCGTTTGGACTCTGGTCTCTAGGACTTTTTTTTTTTTTTGTTTTAGTTTTAGGCTTTTAGCTTTACAAAAAAAAAAAAAAAAAGTCCTATTCATGTCGGTAGTCTCTCTTCACTGTGGTATAGCATGAGATTTGATACAAATACCACAAAAGAGTATCTCTTCCGTTTAAACAGGAAAATGGTTAATGAATAGCCAAGGACTTTTTCTTTAGGGTGAATGTGAATGTGCTGCCAAACGTTAGATTCAAGTAAACAATTCCACCCTATTAGTAACAAGGGTTGCACGAAGTAATTTATGAGTTTAACATTTTTAATCCAAAAAAATCCAGATGCTCAAGGACAAATTGTATATCTACTCATGAGCCTCCTAAATCCACAAAAATTTAAAAAAGGACCACTGGAGAGAATACAATTAATGTTCTTGTAGTATAAATGAAAAACGCTAAATTGTTTGTATGAGACAACTTAAACTTTAAGCTTTACTTAAGAGTCTTAGACCATGCTGTGCACACCATAAATGTCTCTCAATTTTTCGTCTGCTTTTCAACATCCACAGTAGAATGTGCATCGTGATACAGAATTTCTCCAACTATACTTTTCTCATATATTCCTACTTTCAAACAATGTCTTGGAAATTAAAGAAAAAGCATTTGCAACCATATGATAAATAATTACCTTATTAAGTGGTTCCTGTACTGTAGTATGCTACTCCTGTTTTTATGAAAAGGAAGCCCCTCTCTGATCTGGGACAATGGTTAACCTTTAATCCATTACGTACCAAACTTGTCTAAATTTAATTTCTAGCTACATGCTTAATACATATGTCTTGTTGTTTGTGCAACACCAACATATATATATATATATATATATATATATATATATAGTAACTATATGTCATAATTATGATCGATCGGTAAACATCATTTTAAAAGCGTAAACCCCCCACTTAATTTGTATCTTGATTAGAGCGTCATACCCATTTTTAATTTGGCATAAACCTTTCTTAAAGGGAAGACATGCTATTGCTCTATGCCTAGAATGAAGTTTGGTATGGAGCAAAGCAAAATAAAAGATGGTTCTACTTTTTCTTTTATTTCTTCCTTTTCCTTTTGGGAAATAAAAAAGTTTGTTTTTTAGTAATTTTGTTTGGGAATTATTCTTTGATTCCATGTAGAAAAGATAAGTAGTAAAGGACCATACGTGAGGTGGGTGGGAGAAGGAAAAAGAAGGTAAAGTGAATGCGAAACTCAACTTCTTTTCTAAATTTCATCCTTATTTTAGCTTTATATG